ATCGACGGCGCCGAGTGTTGGGGTGGGTGGGTCCCCCCCCGGTTCGAAACGCGCCGCCGAATGTTCCCAAGGCGAGCGCCCGTGAAACGCGCTCTTTCTGACCTCAGGAGGTCTGGAGATCTCCAGAGGTCGCCAGGAGCCCGATGAGGCCTCCGGGGCCAGTAGCTACGCAGGAAACGTTTCGACTGAGCTTGGAAGTTCGATTTCCGCGAAATCCTGGAAACACCTCGGCCCAAACCCCGACTCGTTTCGGATCATGCTTGGAAGGGTTTCATCCGAGGGTGTGTTTGTGCATCTTTTCAGGTGGCGGGCGATTTGTTCCTGGATTTGGCGTCTCTCGGGTTGGCTGGAGCCGGTTTCGTGTTCGGCCGTCTCTTTCTCGGGCTCCCCGTCCCGCTCCCGAGAGTTCGTTTTTTTGTCAGGACATGTCTGGACTAGCTGGCCTTTCCTCTGCCCGGATTCTGCGGTTTTCTTCGGCCATCATCTGCCCCTACGGCACTCAAACATGCTGATATTACGCGACCGTTTTTTATTAATTCTTTTTCCGATCGGCGCGGGCCTTCGCCCTCACCCCATGGAGTAGATCTTGGCTGCTTTTTGGCGCCTGTTTCGAGCAGGTGGAGTCCCTCCCCCGTTGGACGCACGGTCCCAAACAGTCGCACTGAGCAGAGGTCGGGAGCCAGACCCCCCCCCCCTTCCCCCCTCCCGCCCAATGTCGAAACGCCGAATAAAAACACGCTCGCCATGTGTGCGTCGGCACCCCCGGGGCAACGCGCGCGCTCAGAGATTCTTGCAGTAGAGTATCTGCTCGGTGGTGGGCGCTTTCTGGCTCGACCGCCCGGGGCAGCGATGTGCCATGCTCTGCTCGTGCCCCGTGCTCGGCTGGGGCGCGGGCCCCCGAGGGGGGCGCAGAGTATAGTGGGGGCGCGCATGGAGAAACCACATGCTGTTCGTCAGGGCATCCCGGGTTTCTTCGCTCAGCGCGCTGCCCGATGACTTCCCGCAGCCGAGGAAGCAGCTGCTGCGTTCAGGGTGCCATGGGCTTCCCCTCAGGTGCATCTCGCGCGCGGGTTTTCAGGGTTGGGTTTCCTGCGAGGGTTCCTTGCGGCCGCGCCCACAGTGTACCGGTAGTTACAGTCAGCCCGCATCGTCAGGACGAGCCACTTTTCTCAAGGTTGCCGTTGCATGCTTCCCCTTCGGCCCATCCGTGGGCCGCTTTCGCTGGCCGTGCCCCGCTCGCAAGTTGTCGACACGGCCTTCCTCTAAGGCCCTCGCATCCTTGTCGTGCGTCCTTATGATACGGGTCGACGGTATGCCTTTCTGCGTCCCATGCCCTGTCTGCTCGCTTCTCACGCGTGTCGTGCTAGGAGGGGCTTCCGCCGACCGAGGGAGCCGCCCAGGGGTCTCCCGTGGCCCGCGGGGGCTGCAGAACGGGCCGGGGGCGGCGCCCCCCAAAAATCGATCTTCGGCCCCCGGTCCAGCAGCGTCCCAAACCTCGGCCCTCGATCCTGCGTCCTCCCTCCCTCCTCCGTCCCTCGACCCCTCCCTCCCTCCTCGCTCCTCCCTCCCTCCATCCTCGTTCCCTCGTTCACTCGTTCCCTCGATCCTCGATCCCTCCCCTCCTCCTCGATCCTCGATCCCTCCCTCCCTCCT